TTCGTCAGAGTCAACTTGCCAAGCAAACACCTAGTCAAATTATTTCATTATCATTTCTTAGTGCTCTTCTTGAGCAATCTTCACCACTTCATTCAGGAAGACCAACCAAACGAACCAGACAAATCATCAAGTTTTTACAAGAGGCATCATCTATTGTGCCCATGGAAAGTGCACTTTTTGCTGTAGCTTGTAGTGATAATCAAAAGTCTGCTGTTAAAATTGCTCAAGCTACTGTTAATTCAGCTCAAAAATCATCAATTCCTGTTTCAAAAATGATGGCATTTGGTTGTGATGTAGCTATGCACAGACTCATTGCCAACTATTCAACACCTGAGCTTTTCAAAGCATGTGAATATTATGCAAATCACCCTCATAAAGTTTTAAAAAGTGATAGTCAAGTTCATGATAATGCAAGCCATTATTCATCAAAATCAAAGAAAAAGCACAAAAGAAAATCAACAAATGCTGTTCATAGGCAATCTTCTGTTTCATTAATACATCGTGATTTCCAATTGTCATCATCAATGGAGCGCTTCTTGGTTATGTGTAAAAAGATAGGAATAGCTGCTTCTATTACACAAAGTCCACAGCAGTTAATTTGTGGAAGAAATATTGGCGAAATGTACCCAATATCAAAAAGCAGTTTCTTCTCCTTCAGATTCTGATCCTTTAACTCCGCTACCACAAATTTTACAGAATGCCAGGAAACGTCTTACTGCTCTTTCAATTGAGCATAAAGAAACCAATTGCACTGAGCTGAATCGTCTTATGCTTGCTGAAGTTAATAAAATTGTGGAAGATGATTTAGAGCCTTGTGTTACAATGTTAGGAGGCTTTATGGAGCAGCAAATTCGAGTACCTTTGGTTAACAATCCTCTTGATACTGCAAAAGCTCTCAGAGAAGCCCAAAGTTGTGGTGCTGCTGTTGGTGTTTGGGCCTTATTTGCTCTTAGTCACAAAGATATTGAATCCATCTTAAAATTAAGGGAAAATAAAACACTTTTAATTCAAATTGAGAAATTCATTAAGGGTTCTCTTAGTGACAATTTTGCAAAGAAATTAGATGATACTGAATCAACCACAAGTTATAATGCCAAACTGCAGTTTCTGCTGCAAGGACTTAATAAAACAGTCACATGTAGCAGTAATTACATCAGTTATTCCCTTGAGAGAGAATTGGTTGGTATTTGTAAAGAGCGTGATATATCTACCTCAGTTAGTATCACCTCTGTAGTTCGTAACTGGGATGAACGATTTCAAGATACTGCCTTAGTTCTAGTTCCTAATACATATCGACCCCTACTAGCTCGTTGGCTGATTTGGTCTTTGAATATTCATCAACTTCGTGAGGGTTTAGCTAGTTATACTACAATTGGCATCATTGGTCTTGTCAATTCTGGAAAATCTACACTTGTTGATAAAGTTTTCAAAGTCAAAGTAAGTACATCATTTACTTTATACCTTAAAGTCTATATTATTTTATAATAGACTGTTCAAGGCACGACCCAATCAGCTCGCACTACAGTCCCTTTTATTTACAATTTTGATTCTTCCGTTGAGGGATTAAGTGTTATTGATTTTCCTGGAGTAGATGATAGAGATGAATCTATTGGTGGTCTGGCTAAGTTACTTGTGGGTCTTGCACAAATAGTCATTTTTGTCTGTGGATATGAGTTAGTATTATTGTAAAAGAAATTTATTATTGTTGTATGTGATTAATATAGGAGATTTCATACTAGTTCAGCTGAAGAATGGATGGAAATTTTTAAAAATGATTTTGCAGCCACTCCAATTCTGGTTTGTCTTACAAATGCGGACAGGCTTTACGAGGACAAGTGTGAAACTGATATGCTTCCAGAATGCCCTGAAGACAAAATTGGATCAATGAAATCACAATTTGAATATGAATTAGAGGTATATAGTACTGTAGTATGAGAAAATAGGAATATCAATCATTTTTATAATCATAGAAAATTATTGGCTCTACTCAAATGGCACAGAACTGTATTATCAAGTTCTGTTCTTTGACTCAAAGTAGGCATTCTGTATTAAATAACGATAAAGGGCGTCAATCAATGAGAAAAGTTGGTATTTTTAGTCCTGAAGATATTGGAGAGTGGATCAACATGCATTAACGCAAGTTATTCAGCAGCAAGATCTAGCTGATAAATTTCAGTCATTTTTAGTTAAAAATTCAAGCTAATATTATTGATCATTTACTACATACTTATTCTTATACTTAACTTGGCTAAGTATTTTTAAATAAACAGGTTAAAAGAAAATGTCGTAACTTTTGTAAAGTGTATTGTGTATGTTTAATAAATATGACTTATTTATTTGCTCATAAGACAAACGAATGTTATTTACATGTATCTCAATCTTAGTGATATAAATCTTGTGCTACGTTGAATTGTATCTGAAGTCTTGCAATATCAGCATCTAATGCTGCCAGATCATGTCTGAATCCAACCTCAGTACTAGTAGTCCAGCCACTACATGATTGTGTATTAGTACAATCTCCTGATGATGATGAGGCTTGATCTGGAGTCAGGGAATGTGCATCCTTTTCTTCTTCACTATTGAGGAATGAGATATGAAATGTGTACATGAAGATGCTTGGAAAAGTACATGCAGTCCTACTAGGACTTCTGCTTCTAATCTATACACAGCATAGTGGCTGCATATCAGAAAATGTAATATAAATGAAGAGGCCAATTTTGGAAGAATTACCATCACTTACTCTTTATCATTGCAGTGTCCTGTGTTGACTATTGCTTGAATTGTGGATACATCTTTCTGTGATATCATAAGCCAGTCAGTTTCACTTGACAGCTTCAAACCAATCAACATGTGAGCCAAACACTGCCTTAACTCACTATAATAAATAATATTAAAATAAAGGTAATGTTATTTTTGTGAATCATGTCATGTGTTGTTGTATACATGTACTTACAGTAGAGCATCTTGTGACTGCAATAATTCTGTTTCTTTCTCTGCTACTGATAGTTTAAGCATTTGATTCTCATCGTACAGTTCTTGTTGCTCTAATTCAATGTCTCCACGATACTCTATTAATTCTAAATCTCATTACATGTGACAGACTATTACTCACTCTCTTTCCATTGTGTCTCTATTTCCCTCAAACCAATCTCTAGTTGTGACAGTTTAAGTGTCAGAGTATCTCTCTCCTCTTTCTGTACTTCTTCCAATACCTAATAATAATAATAATAATAATATAAATGTATATAGCTTATCTAAATCTTATTGTGAAATTCAAATGTAGGCAAGTTATTTTTTGTTAATTAAAATTTGAAATTTCATGCCTATAATATTTTCATAGAGGATGTACTTACATCTATTTTTGCTGCATATTGTTGACCTAATTCATTTTTTTCTTCTTGAAGCTTCTTTACTGCATGGTAAAATTTAAAATGATAAACTTGTAATGTTTAAAAATTTTGAGATGTACATGTATGTACACGTCATTAAAAATTCAGTTAGATATTATATCAAT